AAATTACTCAAAGTCAAACATAAAAATCCCAATACAGTGCTATATTCTCTTTTATCCATATTCTAATTCCCAACAGAGTAGCAGAAGTACTCACCTACTCTACAGTGAAATGCTTACCCATAGCCTTATATTACCCTCAAGTTTACATATCTGCATCCATTAATCATTGCTGAGAATACAATGAGCCCTTGGTTCACAATCTTAACTTGTTCTATAGTTTTGGGAAAGATGGCCACGGTGACATCTGTCACCTCATATACAGTTTGCAAACAAAAACAAAATTTCGCCAAATGCTTTCATTTGTGAACCAAAGTGCTTGCACACAGAAGCACTTGTGGACTGAGGTACCAGTATTCATTTGTGCATCAGCAGTATTTTACCCAACACCTGACACAAAGAAGGTCCCCCAAAAGATAATTAATTAATTAATCAATGACTCCTTTAAAAATATTTGGTTAATATGACAATCATAGGAAGGTAATTTGCTTTGGGATCAAACAAACCTAGGTTTGAAATTGACCTGCCATTTACCAGCTTTGTGACTTTGGGAGAAACACATTCTCAGAGCCTCCCTCGCTCATCCACCTGTGAAATTCGGGTGAGAATGCCCTGAAGGAAACATGAAGAGAGGCTGAATGAAGCAGCACATCCCTATTGGTGAGATTTGATGAGTAATTAATGACCCGAAGCTTGGCATTTTAAAACAATAAACATTATTTCTAATGAATCTGAGGTCACTTCCTCAAACGTGGTGTTGCTCACAGGTCTGACACGTGGCAGGCTGTTAGGTCTGATGTCTCATCTCTCCCACACATGGCTTCTCTAGCAGAGGATTTCCAGTTCATTCTAGTGGTGACTTTGAGCTCCAAGTGAAGCACAAGAGAAGACCGAGTGTGCCAGCACTTGAACCTCTGTTTGCCTCATATTGACTGCCATGTCATTTGTCTACGTCACTCACATGACCATACCCAGAATCAGTGCTGGAGGGGACTTTAGTGGAGGAAACCACTAAGGTGTGAAACAAAGTAACTTCCAGGCAGTTACTGGGGCCATTTTGTAAACAATCTACACCTAACAACATACCTTTAAGACACTTTAAAACAGCATGGCACATTAACATTTAATTTAGGTTAGCAATGATAGTCATGACAAAACTGTGTGATGGGGAAAGACATTTCTATGTGGAAAATTATTGCCATCTATCATTAAGAATAATCCTTATGACACTTTCTTGTGACCTTTCTTAGCTTCCAACCATTCTGGAATCGATCCCTCTCCTTTCCCATGTAAACATCACTTCCAGAGGCTGATGGTGAGTCTTAAACTCTGAGTCACTCAGCTCCCAAATCAGAATCTGGGCAAGGACTTGGAGACAGATGGTTTATTTGGAAGGTGAAGTTTATTTGGAAGGAAACGGGAGCAAGGCAGAACAAAACAGAGAAAGAACAAAAAGCCCAGAATGATGATGGGTTTTACTGTGGGGAAAGCAGATGAATTACTTTAGGACCTCTGAGACATAAACAATGCTTCCCACTGTTGCCTCACCAATGGACAGCAGCTGGAGCCCTGGTCCTCTCCTTCCTGCCTCCTGTTGGATAAGGGTTGCTCTTAGGCATTATATCCTCCCATGCTCCATATTTGCTGATTGTGCCTTACCTGGGAACCCCAGGACTCTCAGGTCAGCTCTCCACTTTGATTTACAAAGCCTGAGTGGCACTTCAGGTGGGGCACTCTTAGCAGGAAGTAAGTTGGAAATGGCCAGCACAGGTGCACCTAAAGCCACATGTGGAACAAAGAAATAGGAGGAGAACAGAAGCAGCTCCTACGAATGGTTAAAAATAATGGCTGGAGGATTTGCAGAAAGAGCCTCACGTCGTGGTCCCCCTGCATAGCCAAGCTATGCACTTCAATCAGGGCCGCAAACCCATGCAGGACAAAGACACAGAGGCTGTTCTGTCTAGGAAGAAGCCTGGGCTTCCCAGCGATTAAATTCAACCTTTTATTAGGTCGGGGATTTAGCTCAGTGGTTCCACCGCCTGCCTCCTAAGTGCGAGGACCCGAGTTCCATGCCTGGTACCAAAAAAAACTGAAAAAAAATTTCAACATTTTATTTCACAGTGTAGCCCAAACAATATGGTTCCATACAAGTTTTCCTTCAAATTTCTGAGCCACTTTATATTTTTAATTGTACAAATCCTAGTACTTTTGTTTTGTTTTTTTGTTCTTTTCTCTTTGAACAGGTATCACTAAGAAATTGTTTCATCAAACACTGGCCAGCGAGTCACCCACAGAAGTGTTAAAAAACAAAAGTTTGAGTTAAACTTCTTCTAGTAATTTCGTAGTGAAGGGTTTAGTGTGGTCTTCTCACTTGTTTTTTAGTGACAGCAGCAACACAAAATAATTTACCTTTTGGCACATCCCTCATCAAAAGAGCCAATTAAGAATGCTCTTTATTTACATTTCCTTATGTGTTTGGATAAGATGATTTTAAATATAGGTATTATTGACATAGAAATGACACCCTGTCCATCCATATTGTACACACAAGGAAGCTTGCGATTTAAACAATGAATTCAGATTGTTCATTTTGCTTTTAATGGAAGGAAAGAAAAAGAAAGGCAAATTGGTCAAGTTGTCAAAATCAAGCCGATATCTTGACATCTGAATACAAAGCCAAAGGCAAAGGTTCTAGGGCATCTCAGGCACTACACCCTCTTCTCAGCTTGTATGGATAAGACCATGTTTTATTTCATAATTAATCACAGCTTAATTCTGTAACGCATAAGTGCCTATGACTTGCTGGAAACTAGTGGGAATCAAGCTAGGGAGGGAAGGCTACAAGATCAAGCCTTTTATGATTGTTCTTGGGAATTAGCTAATAAATAATGTATGCAACATCCCACTGACTCAAGGAGCACTGAGTTTGATCTCAGAAAGTCACTTACGGAACTTTTGTAAACAAGTCTGGAATGATACCGATATATTGCTTACTTTCTCGAGACTTTTTAGAAATAGATATGTGCACATAAGAGGTGTCATTCAGGCATATATGTTTGTGTTATTTTTTTCAATTTGACAAAACTACTTCTATTTCAAAGTAGCTTTAACCAAAGAAAAATGAAAAATATGCTTTCTGCTTGCTCTTGAGATTTGATCTGGAATAAAACAACAGCATTGCCTTGTCTTATATAAAAATGATTTTTTTGTTTTTTTGTTTTGTATTAAATGTTTTATTTAAAGCTTTTTAACATGAAAAAAGAAAGTACAGAAATACAGATTACATTATGATGGCCGAGACGGTGCTCTACATGACACAAATCAAAACAAAACAAATTTGTAAAGTAAATACACCAGCACTGAACAAGGTACTTGAAAATTAATCCAAGCTACATATGCATAAAATGATCTGACCACAGGGCTATGAAAAATAAACTATTTCCTAGAACACCGGAATACCAACCGTTCTGACCTTAAACTGCCTTATTGCCCTAGTGAGGATTTTGACAGAACTTCTACGTGGCATGAAAAGAACTGATGTGAACTTAAAGACTGCAAAAGTAGAACACAGCTAAAAACATATCTGTAATGCAATTCTGCACAAATATACAGTCAATCTTATTACTTGAAAATTTTAAAAACGAAAGGCCACCCTGAATAATGGTTAAAACCTCATCAAAGATAAATGCTCATCATTTGCATATCATTGGCAGAAAACTGATACAATTTTGTTGGGGAGAGCAAATGAGATCTCTCACAAAGTCATTCATTTAAAATTTGTTCAGAAATGTTCATATGGTTATAAATGTCTGCTTATAACATCTGAAAATATTACACTATGGACACATTTTCTACCGTTTAGCTGGAGGACAAAAGAATAACTTGAAGAAAGTGTTTCTCAAAATGAGGTCCAAAGGCCCAAAAGAATTCTAATGCGGCCTCAATAATAAAAATGTTAAACAAACACCCTGTGTGACTATTCTACATTCTGAAGTGCCCTATGGGAAAGAGCACCACTTAAAAGCAAGATAATAAACATATTTCTGTCATGTTAGAATTCTCTGTAAGTTTATGTTGTGATTACTGCTTTGTGTTTTAACACAAGATCCAGGGATTAAGAGAAACATATATCCCTTGGAAATGAACACATGAATGTCTATAAACATTTTCCTTTCATGTTTTCAATACTTTCAAACTCATTTATTTGAAGAAAAGATAATATATGACTACAAGCTTTGGAAAAGTTGTATTTCTCATGAAATGGGGCATCCAAAAAAAATAAAAAGATAATTTATTAAATGCCTACCAATTTTAAGTAATTCTAAATTTAAAATTAAATAGCTTACCTAAAGTTAAATTTTACTGTTTGTAGCTTTGAAATTTATTTAGATAATAGTTACCTTTCAAGTTCTTTGCATAAAAAATTTCCAAAATAGAGGATGCTATATCCTGAACTCTTCAAATGATAAATTGCTAAGTACTAATTTTAATAAAAACATTTGAAGAACTCTGCCCCTGAAATGAATTCTACTGAGTATTTCATGTGTTATCCTAGTAAAAACAAAAAAACAAAAAAACAAAAAAAAAACACTTAAATAACACTTAACTTACTTAAGAAGATAAAACTATAATGTATGTGTTTTTTATGGAGTTATTCAAAATCGTTGTTATTTTTTCTATTTCCCTGAAGAGTACAAAAACTGAGCCCCACAAGTACAGGCAATGTGGTTTGGAGAGTAACTACCATAGGTAAGACATTCTACTTCAAAGACAAATTGTTTTCTTGTATCATAAATAAAAAGAAAAAAATGTTAGGCACTATGTGTCACTCAACAAATGGAATGTGTATGTAAGTGTGGTTAAAAAGCAATTGTCTCATTGTTATTTACATCAATTCATAAAAAGCAACTCTATTAACAAAAAATTCTATGTTCTCTACCACAGACTATAAGAATCAAATATTACATCTAAATATAACCACAAAAAAAGAAATTAAAATTAGCTTCCAGACAACTATGAAATGTTTAATTCTATCTAGGCTGGTGACAAGTTTTTCCAAGCACTAAATGGCAACATAGGCAGAGTGCATAGTTGAAAAATGAGGATCAGACTCATTCTTCTTCATACATGGATAGATGATTGATGTACTCAAAACCTTCAAATTCATATCCATCTATTTTCTTCACAATGTCATTATCATCTGGGGTGAGCCGGACAGGCTCATTAGTAAATTCAGGATCAAAGTTGTCCAAACCGAATTCCTCAGAAACATTTGGTTTAAAAGGAGGTACCACTTGCTTTTGCTCCATCATGTCCCAGTCCACATTTTGAAAGAATGCATGTTCCTGAACATCAACAAAGCCCTTTTGAGTATGACAGCCCAATCGTCTCTTTGGGTCCCTGTCCAGAAATCTTTCCAGTACACTGGCAGCATGTACAGACAGACAAGGAGGTATATAAATGTTGCTTTCCAAAATTACTTTCAAGAGATAATCCATTGAGTTTTCATAAGGGTTAACAAGGCTCTCATCAAAATGGAATGGAGACTTTCCGATCATCATCTCATACATGACTACTCCGAGATTCCACCAATCCACACCAAAACCATAATCTTCTCCTCTTACAACTTCTGGAGCCAGGTAATTAGGAATGCCACAGAAAGTTCTGGTCGTACCTCCTGGCTGTAAGCCTGCCTTACACAGGCAGTAATCGGTGAGTTTAATATGCCCCTCTGAATCCAGTAGTAAATTGTCAAATTTCAAATTTCTGTACATTATCCCTCGCTGATGTAGATAGCTGAACGCTAAACAGATTTCTGCAGAGTAAAACCTGGCATGTTCTTCAGGAAGTATTCTTTGTTGCTGCATATGAAACAGTAGATCTCCGCCATTGACATAGTCTAGAATAAAGAACAGTCGGCTTTCTGTCTGGAAGCAAGAATGCAGTCCAACAAGAAAGGGATAATTGGCTGCCTGCTCTAAAACGTGCTTCTCTGCCCATACCCGATCAGGGCTGACATGCTCTTTTTTCACTACTTTCATTGCATACTTACAATCTGATTTTTTCAGTTGGACTAATAGTACTTTCGCAAAACTTCCTCTGCCAATCACGCGGAGCAAGTCAAAGTCCTCAAGACCGAGACCAGACGAAGCTTTGCCACCTTCCCCTGTGTTCCCTGCCCCATTCTCTTTATCAACTTGTTTTAAAGCCTCATAAGTTGAAAGGTTACGTGGGATCGCTGTCTTTGCAGGGTCTGAAGCCACGGATGATGGATCAACTGGCATCATGGCCTCTGATGGTGAAGAACGCTGCCCACATTCAACCGTGAGAAGTTTGTGGCACTTCTTGTGAACCAAGAGTTTACAGTCGGTGCACTTATACACCCGGCAGCCAAGTCCCCCTGCAAGGTCTGTGCACACAGCACAGCGAGCTCCTCTGCTGAAGCATTTGGCCTGAAAAGCGTGGCCATTTGCGTAATATAGCTTTCTCCAGCAGCCTGCAGATCTGTGGTGGATGGATTTCTCCCCTCCTGGACAAGGCACTTTAGGATGTTCTGATATACAAGGTGATGCATGAATTAAGAGCTCAGAATCCTTCTTGAGCTCAGAAAGCCTAATGGCCTCTTTTAACTCCAACTGAGGTGACGCAGTATGCGGGTCTCCTTCCTCCTCTACCCAGCGTGTGGTGCAAAGCTGTTCATTGCCCAAATGCCACACATCTCGATCTTTATCACACAGGCCCTTAGAGAAAATCAAATTCTCAAGAGACCTTGTCGTCATGTCTCTTCCCAAAATCAAGGCCGATCGGGTAGAGGCGTGGGTGGTGGAGGTGCCCGGGAAGAAGAGACCATGGTCGGGTTGGCTGCCCGGGGAAACAGGCAGGCAGGGCTCAGAGAACGAGCGCGGCCCGACTGTCTGCAGGGAACACACTGGCCGGGATTCTGCATGGCTCTCTGTGTTTTCAGTAGTGGCAGCCAGGCCTGGGTGGATGTCCGCCAGGCTTCTCAGGGTCTCTTGGGGGCCGGTGGCTGTGACTTCGGTCTCCCCCCCTGCACTTTGACTCTCTAGGTCTTTTGTGCCCAGCTCTGGGAAGACCTGCCCAGAGCTGTGGGGTGTTTCTGGGCCTGGAGATAGTTGCCCCCCGCTCTTCCCAGTTTCTGTGCCATTGGTTTTGGGGCTTAGGGAGCCTTCACTGGGGTACCTTGATTGTGGTAGGTCACTGGTGGGCACTCCCGGGGAGACCTCCCTGGGGTGTCTGTGACAGTCCTGTGGCTGCTGCACTGTGGCCTGTGGCCTCTGGGTGGAGTCAGCTGTCTTCTTAATCTTTCACAGATACTTTCTCTGCCTGGGGTGCTGAGGCTGTGACCTCTCAAAGTGGAGAAGCAGCTCAGCATGTTCACTCTTGACCATCTCTGGCCAAGTGAGCTTGCAGACAGCAGTTACTAGATTGTGATGAGATTGAAGTGAGACAGCAGCTACTACATTGTGATGCCCATTAGCAAGGGTTCCCAGTTCTCTTTGGAGATGTTGCCAAGGAAGTGAGGTCATCCCTTGGGGTTCCTCGACCAATGCCTCCATGTGATAGAAAACCTTATGGCCTATTGTTTTCTTCATACTAAAATCAGTGCCCACTTATTTTATTCTCTTTACCTAATTATCTATGAATGTTTTTATCTATTTATCATCTATCTCTTAGCTGTTCACATTTGAAATCCTGGGGCTTGGACCTTGTATCTGCACAGTGAACTGTGGGTATATCCTCACACATTTTTTTTTTCAGATAAAAGACAAGTCTCTCTAAGTCACCAAACTGGTCAGGTTGGACTCCACCTTGGATCTTCTTACCTCAGCCGCCTAGAGTCCTGGGATTACAGTCACACACCATCCTGCCAGCCTGCCTGATTCAGTGTGCTATTTAGAAAGAGCAAAACTAGGAAAGCTTTTGGTGATATTAGGCATTGGTGATATCATTACTTTTAGAGCAACATGTGTGCATTGACGCTTTGCAAGTGGTGGGCACAGTACTGAGGGTCTTTTCCATATAAAGGAGGTATTTTTGTGAAAATGCAGTCGTAGGGATTTACACTTAGAGAGCCATGAAATTTTAGAATGCTTGTCTTTCTTAGCATCATTTCCACTTAATTAGGTTGTACTGTGGCTTTCTAGAAATTTCCAAAATAACTTTCCTTAAGAGATACAAATGTCTGTTTCAAAGTGTAACATGGGGTGTGGATTCATAGGCTGTAACTTTGAGGTGCAAACAAATGAGTAATTATTCATTCTTAGCTGATGATCAAAATTCCAAAGTAACATACTGTGTTTCCCAGAAAATAAGACCTAACTGGAAATATCTAACTGGAACCAACCCTAGCTGATTGTTACCGTGGTGATGACCAGTGTTATGCAGAAAAATTGTACCTCACTATTGTCTTGCTCCATGGCTACTCTGTAATGCCAGGTAAAGGAAGAGAATAGGCTGATTGGGGTTGTCATTTTTTTCTGGTTAGGTCTTATTTTTGGGAAAACACAGTAGAGCGAGGCAGGAGAGCATGTGGTAACTGCGAGGCAGAGTCCTCGTAAAGGCTAGAAACTATTAACCAAGGGATGATGATGAACACATACATATAGCAATTGAATCTTTCCTTGTGGCCACTTGTAATTGCTTTCTTCCCTGTTGTCCCAATCGGTCCATGTACCTTGTGCCCCAAGTGGGTAGGTTGCATTTTCTAGATGCAAGGAAGCTGTAACCATTCAGCATGTAGTTTTCTGGATAAAAATGATTTTTAACAAAGTGAAATATATTTAGATTTGAAAATAGATTATTATGATTTCAACAGTTACATTATCCACATAGAATCTCTTGTGATACTGATGGAAAGGAAAAGTGCTAAAGAAAAGAGATTTGAGAAACTGAATATGAGATTCTGAAATGATGCATGATTGTATAGACAAGAACTTGATGTGCCAGGGTGTGAACAGGGAATAGTTAGTTCTGATTAATATGTCAACAAGATGTCATTCAGGTATTCCCTGGGCTGCAACTGACAGGCCATTTACAAGGATTACATTGTAATTGTTCAATGAGGAATCTGTGTGAAGCAAGGCATTTTAACCCAATTTCATGTGAGCAGTGTTTTCTACTTTACTAAAAGAACATAGCATGGAGAGGGCTTTGTGAATCAGATAGAATAAGAAAATTAAATAAATGCATTTTAAACAACAGCTATATATTAGTATCAAAAATACCGTATTAGTCCCTATTTCAAAAAATAGAAGGTGACTATTAAATGACAAAGATTAAAATTAGTAAATACCTGTAGTGTCATTGAGGGTCTCAGGGAGAAGCAAATAAAAGCAGTTTTGAAAGGTTTTGGTTAATGGGAGCAAACATAAACATATTGACATGAAACAGTGCCGCACTTTGGCAGCAGCAGCAGCTGGGGGCAGTTCCCAACCTCAGCTGTAGAACCAAAGAAAGGGTCTATGCCTAATAATTAGGGACAGGGTGCACATCTGAGCCAGGAGAGCCAGCAGACAGGAGGTATGAAAGGAGAAATGCAGCCGACCCCAGTGTTCCCAGCAGAGAAGGAACCCGGGCAGTAAAGACCCTACCTCACAGTTCTTCCCAGTCCCTCGATGGTTTTAAATAGAAAACCAGAAGCCAAGGTGGTCTGCTTATTTAAAACACACTAGTCATGGTTCTAGCACAGAAAGCAGCAATAAGAAAGGGCAAGGGTAAACAGAAGATTCTTAAAACTCTATAATCTGCCTGATAGCCCTACCAAATCATGCTCTTCCCTAACATAGGATCAGTAGCATTAATAAAATAATAAAAATATACTAACATTGCAAAATTGAGATGTTCTATCATAATGAAGACAATGAAAACCACACCCTTCCGATGTTACCAGATGTTATACATTTTCTGTTCATGTACCATTTAACCCATTTGCTATCACCAGACACAAGAATCCTGGGCTTTGGTGTATGTAACAAAACTGTCCAGATGTAGGATAACCATGGAGTCTTACTACTTGTTGGAAACATCATGAAGTCATTCCATCTTTCACAAATCACAAAGATGTAAAAGTTAAGCATAGACAAATTTCAATAGTCTAATCCACTGATGTAGCATAAAGTGTTTATAAGTAGATACAGAATTTCGGTTCTGTTTTTATGTGCATCTGTTATTCACAAATACTGACTACAATTTACATGCAAATTCAAAGCTCAAAGAATAACACATACATAGTTGTCCATAGTTTCTGACAACAACGTAATACATCTAGAAAAATGTAAAAAAAGGAAGAAATCAGATCTTTCATCTTACTATAACTTAAAAGAAAACATTTTCCACTGGCTAGGTCTTAAGCCACAGAGAAAATCAGAAGTATAATTGCTTAACCATTGGAACATACTGATAATGAAAACTCTATAAAAAATGGCTATAATGTCAAATAATTTCTTCAAAGGAAAACCAGAATATTTTTACCAAAACAAAAGGAATAAAAAATTAAACACCAAAATATAAGAAAAAGAACTCAAAGAAAAGGCTAAGAAAAGCTACACAATATAAGAAATTAACATAAAAGCATAAGTTATTGGAATTGAAGAAAAAAATAAAATTGATAAGTACATGTAATAATTGTAAAGAAAACGCAGAGTCAATGCCTATGAAAGTATGCATTAATATATTGGAAAATAGAAAAAATAGAATTGATAAATATATAAAAGAATTGGATCTTAGAATAAAAATATATACATCACTTTATTAATAAAAGAAAGAATACATTAATGTACAGATTTATGAATGTGAAAATGGTGCTGATTGCAATAACTTTAAAAGAATATTTTCTCAAATCTATGATATTTCAATCTATGCAATTTTCAAATCTATGCAATTTCTATGCTAAGAAATTTAAGGATAGAATAGACCATTTTCTGGAAATATCCAAGTACTGTACCTTAAATGAACTTAACAAAAGGTAGAATACTTAAATAGACTTAAAACCAAGAAACTGAGAAAGTTGTCAAAGATCTACCTCTCAATAAAGTTCCAGACAATTTCATGCATGAATTCATTCAAACCTTCAAGAAACAGATAACTCAGGAGCTTTTTAAATTTTCCTAAGGCATAAAGTTAGAAATAGTGCTTCCTAATTCTTTTCACAAAAGCACAGTAGCACAAATAGCTAAGCTTGACAAGAATAACTTTGAAAACAGACCTAAAATGAAACCTACGAATATTGATTTAAAAAAATCACAAACTGTCAGCAAAGAGAACCCACATTACATTTAAAAATTAATACACTGAGCCAAGTGGGTTTAGTTTAGATATCCAAAAACAATCCAATGTTAGAAAAATATTAGAATTCAGAATATAATAAACAGAAAAGAAAGTAATAAAATGATATGATTGTATCAATAAAGGTCAAAAGCTTACCTGATAGAATTCAGCATCTAATTCTATATTTGTTAGCATATAAATATTGTATATCATATATGTTCTTTATTATAAAATAGATATAGCTGCTAAAATTTTATTATGGTACATAACAATAAAATTCTCAGTTACTGAATAAAGAAGTCCTAATGATTTGCTTGGCAGAAAACCTTCCTCTGAGCAGAAAATAGAAATCCTAACAAAAAAAGTGTAATTTCAAAATGCTGCAAACACAAACGATCACATGTAATCGTGTCCAATTTATAGACTCTTCACAAGTCTTGGTTTGTAAAAGTAACATGAGAGCAATAAAATACAATGTGTCAGGTCAGTTTCATGATCATAAATACAGAGCACTCCGTACATAGTAGGTTCTCAATAAATGTTCTTTTCAGTACCTTTGTTGTTCATGGTGGTATAAAATATGCATAATTAATACTTGCATTTAAGCTTAGAAAAGAAGCATTTTAAAAAATTCTACCTTCTCCCACATGACTATTTAAGGTAAAATCTAACAGGTTCAAAATATTGTTCCCTTATAAGGAAATTTATGCTTATTTGGAAAAATTAAGAAAAATGAAAATACAGAATATAAATTACCTTCTGATAACTCTTCCTCACAGACAGCATTACACATTGGCAAATATACTGTCAAGCTGTGGCTCACACTTGGAACTGGGTCTTTTAAATAGCTACATTTCAAAAATAGAATTTTATGCTCTTCAATGGAAAAATATTTAATTTGAAAACTTCATTTCACACATAATTTTCTAATTACCCAGCCATTTTACCAGCACTCAGACTGCCTGTGACTTTGATCTACTCCGAAGACGTATGTACAGACTTCAACTTGGCAGTATTTATAAACTCAAGTCACTGGTTCAGTGTGGAAATGGCTCCAGAGAGTGCAGCTGTACCGATCACATTCCTTCCCATCCTGCTCACAATTAAATCAGTTGTAATTTACTCTTCTTGGTTATGCCTCAGTCCTAACCATTTTCAGATAAGGACCACAAATGTTGATAGATACAAACCAA